GAATGACTAGAGATCTCCTAATTCTTAAGTTAAAGGAATCATGGTGTGACAGAATTCTAGACAAAGAGTCAGGTGACCTGGGTCCTGGTCTCTGCTCTGCCACAAATTCATTATATATAATGATTATGAGTCAATCACATCCCTTCTCTGGGGGCTTGAGCCCTCCCATAGAGAAAATGAAAAAGTTGTATTAGCTGATTTAAAAAACAACTAGTTATTAGATAAGGGAGATTTACTATTCTTTGAACTGAGAGTGGTGGGGGCTCAGTGATATACCTCACACAACATTGCCTGAACAAACACTGATCTTCTAGCCAAACCATTCTTGCCACACTGTGGTCTAAGAATTGGTCAAGATCCAAATCAGATGATCAGCAACTGTCTGGGCTCGTATGGTTGACCCAAGGGATTCCCTCCTCTGAGCTTAGCTCCCAGTGCATGCTGCTGGTTGCTGCCCCCACTAATGTCATACAACGTAATATTAGACAGTGGCAGAGCCAGTGAGCAGTATGAAGAAGATCCCACAAAACTTCTGGGTCAGTATGGGAAATGGAACATTTAAGTGTTACTAGCCCCTCCAAGCCTAAGCCTTGTCATTGCTATTTATGTAGCATCTTTCACATCCATCTCCTCTCCACTCACATGGTCACACAGCACTGCACTCATACAAGTCCTAGTCATACAAGTCACAAGGTCTACTGCAACAGCCACCTAATTGGACTCTCTGTCTTAAGTCTCTATACTCCACAGAACTGCCAAAGAAACTTCTGCTTGCCACTGAAAGCCCTTCAAAATCTGGTCCCAGCTCATCTCCCACATGGCACTCCACACCTCCTGTCTTCATTCTTTTGTCCTGGTGGCTGCCCACACACAGAATGTACACAGAATTAGGAAAATCTCTGCATTAACATGAACTTGTATCCACTTTTCATGTCTATATGCTGTGTCCCTTGATTAGACTATAAGCTCCTTGGGGGTAGGGACTGTGTCACTATCTTTGTCCCCCCCAACACCTAGCATGGTACGTGGTACACAGTAGGCAATTTAGTGCTGTTTAAATGAGCTATTTCAGCTCCCTGAGTGATCTTTATATTAATCATATTGCCGGAGTACAGTACAAAGCTCCATGAGGGCAAGGACTGTCTTTCTAAACCTTGAACCTCCCCCAATGCCTAGCACATTATTCTGCTCACAGAGAAGGTAACCACCCTCTTTGTTTGTCAAAGTCTACTCACCCACATTATACAATTTTTGACCTGGCTCAAAAATTAGTATATCCTCAAATTTTTTTAAGTCTTTATTTGGCAGAGGATATAAAAGAGGAAATGTGGGGCATCTCGGAGAACCATAAGGATCCTGCATTAGGGGAAAACATGGTAGAAGTTTAAACATGATATTTGCATGGGAACCAGATGACAGGAGGAGGGAAATTGTCAGTCTGGCATGAGTAACGTTTCTGGGATCATAATAAGACAGAAAACCAATGTGGACAGTAAGGATGGGAAACCTGGTAAACAGCGTCTCTCCCTGCACTGTGACAATATCATTGGCATTCTATGACAAACAATTGTGAGTAGAGCATAAATAGTCACCCACAGACCTTTCCAATGGCTACAATGACTCTCTCTAGCCCTAGTTACTTATGGAGAAATGCCATACATGCCTCAAAAATATTTTACTTCAGCCATGGGCAGAGAATGAGAGACCAGTCATGAGTACTAGTGTGGAAGATTCCTATTCATGATATGTAGGGACCAGAGAAAGCACACTATCTATCAGTTTAATATGTACTGAATTCTCAACCTAGAGATCAGCCCAGAATAGGAGCCATGTATCTCAGAGGGTTCTTTCCTTTTTCCTTGTTTTTCCCTGTAGGATTTATAATTATTTGCCTACCAGCTAAATCTTCCTGGCACACACATACACAATTCATAAACATTCTTCTTGCCCAGCGCTAGAAAATGACAGGAGAGTAGGGCCTAGAGCAAAGTCTGTCAAAGAGACAAGACAAGGCAGGATGATAACTTCTCCTCATGTCCCGAGTTAAGATCACCTCTCAACGGAATTCCCATCAAGTGGTTTCATATACCCTCCAAACTGGTAATAAGAAACTGTAAAGATTTATGTTTACAAAGTAAAACAGAATTCAAATGTAAAATGTGTTGGCTAATAATAGGGCCCCAGGACCATGGACAGCAAATTACTGGAAAATAAACGAGGCAGTAACTTCACCTTTCAGTTGTCTAAAGAGATAGAAAGAACTGCTTAGTCATGAAAAACCATAGGATTTGATACAGTAAAGCTGATACCTGCCAGCTTCAATACTACTACCAAATGTTCTAAACCAGGAGGAAGGAAAAGTAAGTAGTATGTTCAGCATGACAATTCAATAATTCAATTGACCAAACTTTTATTATTTGACTCCTTTGTGGCAAGGCACCAAACTAAACACTGGGGATACAAAAATGAAAACAACATGGTACAGCAGAAAGAACTATGTGGCGCAGTGGACAGAGTGCCAGGCCTGAAGTCAGGAGGATCTGAGTTCAAATTCAGCCTCAGACACTTACTGTGTGACTCTGGGCAAGTCACTTAACCTTGTTTGTCTCAGTTTCTTCATCTGTAAAAGGAGCTGGAGAAGGAAATGGCAAACCACACCAGTATCTTTGCCAAGAAAATATCAAATGTGGGCATGAAGAGTCAGACACAACTGAAATGACTGAACAGCAACAACATCAACAAAGGAGGAAAAACACTAGATTCGGAAATCAGAAGACCGGGGCTCAGATCTTGGTTCTGTCTGACTTTAAGTCACTCAAATTCTCTGGACCTATTTTTCTTTGCCTGTAAAATGTGAAGGGTATATTTTATGATCTACAGTGTTTCTTCTGGCTCCAAATTCTACAATCCTATGACAGCACCTCTAACCTGTAAGAGCTTAAAACATCATTAGGATAAGAGCTGCCATGTACATTAATAAGAGAAACCATGTAGAATATACAATGGGAGAAAAAAAAAAAGAGATCCAGACAAAGAACAGGAAAAAAATCTAGAGGAGGTTTACAATTGTTTAAAGAAACATGGCTGAATCGGTTGTGGAATCTTAATATAATAGAATACAATTATGTCATACGTAATGACAAGGGAAAGATACTAAGAAGTGAGGAAAGATAATGACAAGATAGCAAAAACAGAAAGATAATATACAAAATATGAATATTAAAAATATAAATGTATCAAAACTTTAGATCCACAGATAGAACTCAAAAGTTCACAAATAACAAAGGCAACATAATACAGAAGAAAGACCACTGGACTTGGAGTCAGAGGCCTTGACTCCTCGAAGACCTGCTGCTTAAAGATGTGTGATATTGGCTAAATCACTTTAATATCTTGAGATCTCAGTTTTCTTCCTCTGCAAAATGCTAGGGTTAGTATATATGGTCTCTAAGGTTCCTTCCAATTCTGAAGTCTTAAAATCTTAAATTTACGAGCTGTGTGACCCTGGGCAAGTCACTTAACCTTGTTTGACAGTTTCCTCATCTGTAAAATGAGCTGGAGAAGGAAATGGCAAACTACTCCAGTATCCTGGCCAAGAAGACCCCAAATGGGATTGTCAGACAAGACTTAAAAACGACTGAACAACAACAAGGTTCCTTTCAATTCTGAAGTCCTAAAATCTTAAATTATTGTTAGAGTTTGCTATTTCTCATTTGTTAAATCAAAATGCATACAATCTGTTTTTATGTATTGGAAGCAAGAAATTTACATTAGAAATTATAGGAAGGAGGAGAGAAAGGGGTGAGGAAAAGAAGGTATAGAAGAAGGAAGGAAGGAGAAGGAAGGGAAGAAGAATAAAGGGATTTGCACAAAGAAAGTTGATTCTCATCAAGTGATCACAGAATCACAGTTTTGTGAGGAGCCTCAGGTCACCTAGTTCACTCTTCAATTTACAAACAAAGTGAGGGCCCAGGGAGGTTAAGTGATTTGCTCAAAGGGAGGGACCAGTGGGGACAGAATTGGACATAGGGCTTGCTCTGAAAATTCTTTCTGAAAAATCTTTCTGCTTTGCCAAGCTGCTGCAACCAGATTTAACCAGAAGCCCAAGTGAGAGTCAAAAACCACATCTCTCCAATTCCCAGGCCCCGAGACATATCAATAATGTACATACTTCTCACAGTTTCAGGAACGGTATCAAACACTGAATAGTTGCCCTATCAGAAGGAGGTAGGAACAACCCGAGCAGGATACAAAAGCCCTACTCAGGGTGGCCTGGCTGGGAGAAGATGGCAAACAGAAAAAAGAAAAACTTTAAAGGTGATTAGGTCAGAGGGAGGGAGGGAGGGAATGGTTAGGAATACTGAGACCATCGATGTCATGGGGAGAGGAAAAAAAAAAACAGTCACGTTTCAAACCCTTTGGGTACTTAATGAAAACCAGTGGATAAAAGCAAGGGGCAGTTATCTTGGTCTCTGCAAAACATCAAAAACCTCATGCATATCCTCACCACAACTCAGGGAGTAAACTGTTTGAAAACCTTAAGAAAAGCCACAGGAAGGACAGTTTCAATGCAGATTTCAGAGGTGCCATCTGAGCCCAATTCCTGGAACAGAACAAACACCATGCACACCCTTCTCAGCTTTTGGCAGCATTCCCAGGCTCATACTCCTAGGACAAGAAGAATAGCGGATGTTTATAGAGAGCTTTCCATTTTACAAAGCCCTTTAAAATATATGTTCATTTGACTTTCGAAAGGGCCCTGTCAGGCACACAAGTATTATAAGTATTGTCCCCACTTTAAAGAAGAGGAAATTGAGGCTCATGGTGAAGGAAATGACTTGCCCAAATTCACACAACTAGTAAGTTCTGGCTCACACAGAGCCAGAATTATAGCCCAGACTTTTGTGAGCAAGTTCAGGTCTCATTCCAGTCGCATCTGCCTGAACATTAGAGTTAAAATAAGTTTTGATTAAAGACCTTTCATGAGGGCAGGTGCTTACCTGAGTAGCCATCTTGCCATAATCAATCCACCGCAGTGTGGCAAAATTGGTTGACTCAGCACAGTTGAAGCCATGATTGAATCCTGCATGGTATCCATAGGGAAAAGTAATCATAAATTCGCCAGCCTCCTGAGTGATCTGAGGGCAAAAGAGGTCAATGGATGAAAACTCTTAGTTCAAAATTGGTCAAAACAAGCATACACTGGCTATAGCAATTTCAACTCTATTCCTGGTAGAGTTCTTATTCCTGGGATTATACCTAATCACCCAGAAAACAGCAGGTGAAGCTTGAGATGAGATGAGATCAGAGACCAGAAAAATCAAAGGTTAAGGCCAGACAGGTGATACTTAAGGTAAAGGACAAAATATAATTTTATATATAACATTTGGGACTTTGGGAAGGAGAGTGGTATAAAGAGAACTGGACAAGAAATCACAGTCTTTCCGCAAGGACTCTGGATCTACCACTAATTAGCTATATATAGTCTGAGATATGCCATTTTCCCCCTCTGGGTTCATCTGTCCAATGAGGTGACTAAAGATCATTAAGAATCTCTATTTCTAATAATCTATAACCACATGTGTTCTTTTTGGGGAAAAAAAATTTCCCAGTGAGCTAAATAGACTATTTATACTATGGAAAGGATCCTGGCTTCCTAGTATGCTCAGTGCTACCAAACTGTTTCCTGCTTGGCATGGTTCATGCTTGGAAGCTGTGGTCACTCATCACTATTCGTTTTGAGGTGCCTTTTGCTATTCCCCAACCCCCAATACTTACTGTGTGTCCCCAGTGGGTGCCAAGATCAAGATGGTATTCTGTAATGACAGGATCACAGGCTAATAGATTTAGGGGTTAGAGGACTCTCAGAGCACATCTAGTCTAACCTCTTCATTTTGTAGAAGTAGAACCAAGCTTTGAAGAGGTTAAATGACTTGGCCTAATTCTCAAGTCAAGTACCAGACTTGCCTCTCCAGGTCTATTGTCCTTTCAACTTCTATGCTACCTAACCTTTTGGGATAAGATATCAGAATATTATAAAACCAAGATGAATCATTTCATTCAATAAATTCTCAGATTATTGATGAAAGGGCCAGAAAGACCTACCCAGTATCTACCTACCTATCTATATCATTTACAGAGAAGGCCTTTCTGTCAAATATTCTGATTCCTTTTCCTTAAACAAACTGTCATTTTTGGTAAGGTCAAAAAGACCTACTAAAATCCATTACCCCTGGGGGGCAAATGATCAAGTTATTAAAACAGTATGTTACTATTCTCAGAACCTTCAGGAAGATCAGTCAAATCATCTTCAAAGGTTCAGCCTGAACTGTCACCTGTCCCATTAAATAAAATCGAAAATCCCAACAAAATTTCAGCATCCTCGGTATGGGTTGGACAACAGGTAGACATGACAAAATTAAACCAGTCTAATGATGTATCTAAATTTATCAGTTCTACCAGGGCACTTGGGGAGGAAGAGTAAAAGGAAGGCAAACAGTCAGGGCAATCTCTGGATAATGAACTATTATAATTGAGGAAAATAAATATTAAGTTCTATTTTGAAAATTCTCTAGGTGACAATGTCATTTTCAGAAAAAAATAAAAATGGGGATGAATATATCAAGAGGTTAAGTCTGTGTGTACAGTTCATAGAGTCCTCCAATTTTTACTTATAATACTGACAGAAGGTTAAAGTCCCTTAAGGGTAAGAATTGAAATTTTGTGCTTATCTTCCCAGTGCCCACCATATGATGGAAGCTTAATAAATGCTTGCTAACTGATTACTTCAGATCTCGATTCCTCCCTCTTCCCCCCAAAATGGATCACAGGTGACAAACCAGTCTACATTTCACTTCACTGCTATTTTTAAACTTACCTGCATTATCAAGGAAGGTTCTAGGAATTATGACAATTATATTTTAATAGGAAATTTGGCTTTCCCCACCAGAAACTTTCAAACTCCTGATGTACAGCCGTGTGTGAGTTACTTGGGACAAGCAATTACTTTGATATGGAGTTCAATTTGTGACAACAATAATCATTGTGCTTACTAAGGTGACATCCAGACCAGATGAAAACTGGATTGGGCTGGTTCTTTTAATTAGTTGAGAATTGTCCTGTTTAATTACTCCCTACTAGGGTGTTTTAAATTCTATGTGTTTTTTTTAAAATTGGTATTACTCCAAGGAAATGTGTATAAGTGACAGGTTTTTGTTTCGTTTTGTTTTTTTAGGCAATTGGGGTTAAGTGACTTGCCCAGGGTCATACAGCTAGTAAGTATCAAGTGTTTGGTCTGAGGCCAGATTTGAACTCAGGTCCTCTTGACTTCAGGGCTGGTGCTCTCTTCACTGTACCATCCAGCTGCCCCAAGTGATAGGTTTTTAAAAACACCTTTAATAACTAACTGTTTGAGCTACTGCAACTACAAATGGTGTAGAGGAAGTCAAGCATTTTAAACCTGGAAAGTTTCACTGCTCTATTTTATTGTTTTAAATTCTATGGTTTTAAGAATGGATATATCATAAGAAACCTGAGACAGTGCCCCTTCCACCCTGGGAGCAGAGCTCAAATTGAAAAGGAAAAACGCTATGAAAGGAAAAAGGCCAAAAAAGATGAGCAAACAACAACAACAAAAAAAGAATCTGACCACAGAAAGTTGTTATGGTGACGGGGAAGACTGAGACACAAACTCAGAAGAGGACAGTAACGTCAAAACACCTATGGAAAAAACCCCAAAGAGAAATGGGAAGTGGTCTCAAGCCCAGAAAGAACTCATGGAAGAGCTTCAAAAGGAGCTTAAAAATCGTCTAAGAAAGGTAGAAGAAAAAGTGGGAAAAGAAATGAGAGCAATGCAAGAGAATTATGAAAAAGGAGTGAACAGCTTGGAAAAAGAAAACAACTGCTTAAAAAGTAGAAATGGCCAAACAGAAAAGGAGATACAAAAATCCACTGAAGAAAACAAATCTTTAAAAAGTATAATTGGCCAAATGGAAAAAGTACAAAAGTAAACAAAGGAAAATGACTCCTTAAAAGTCAGAATTGGGCAGGTGGAAACTAATGACTGTAGAAGACATCAAGAAACAAACAAATTCAAAAGAATGAAAAAATAGAAGAAAATGTAAAACACCTCATGGAAAAAAGATCCAAGAGAGGTAACCTCAGAATCACTGGACTACCTGCAAGCCACAATCAAAAGGAGGACCTGGACAGGATCTTTCAAGAAATTATCAAGAAAAAATTGTACTGATACCCTAGAACCAGAGGGCAAAATATGCTTTGAAAGGATCCACTGATCACCTCAGAAAAGAGACTCTAAAATAAAAACTACAAGGAACATTATAGCCAAATTTCAGAATTACTAAGTCAAAGAAAAAGTACTACAAGTGTCCAGAAAGGAAAAACTCAAATATCAGGGAGCCACAGAACTTAGTAGCTGTAACATTAAAGGGACTGGAGGTCATGGAACATGATATTCCAGAAGGCAAAGGAGCTAGGAATACAACCAAGAATCACCTACTCAGCAAAATTAAAACTTAAAACTTCAAGCAAAAAACTGGTCATTCCATGAAATAAAGGGATTTCACGCTTTCATAAGAAGACCAGAACTGAACAAAAAATCTGATCTACAATGTCAAGACCCAAGAGAAGCCTAAAAAGTAAAAAAGGGGAAAAAATGTAAGGGATTCAACAGAGCTGAACATCTCTACATGAGAAGATGACACTTGTAATTCTTAAAAATTATACCAATGAGCAACTAGGTGGCACAGTGGATAGCACACCAGCCCTGGAGTCAGGAGGACCTGAGTTCAAAGCTGACTTCAGATACTTGACACTTACTAGCTGTGTGACCCTGGGCAAGTCACTTAACCTCAAGAAAAAAAAATTATACCACTAATAGTACAGTTAGAAAGAATACACATAGAAGGTACAGGTATAAGGTGAATTTAAGGGACTGACATAAAAAAAATAACTAATACACTGGGTGCAGAAGGAAGGAAAAGGTAGAATGGGGTAAATAATTTCACAAGAAGAGGTGCAGAAAAACTATTAAAGTGGAGAGGAAGACAGGAGGGTATGCGATGGGCATAGCTTGAATCTTACTCTCATTAGTATTGGCTCAAAGAGAGAATAATTTACACAATCAGGTCAATATAGTAATCTATCTTACCCAACAGGAAAGTGGAGGGGAGGAGATTAAATAAAGTGGGTTGGGGGGAGGAGGGGGAGAGGGAAGGGGAAAGAGAAAGAGAGAGAGACAGACAGACAGACACTGACAGAATAAAGGTCAGACCAGGGGAAGTGGTAGACAGAAGCAAAACACTGTCATGAGGAAAAGGGTGAAAGGAGAGAGGACAGAGAAGACAAACAGGAGGAAAAATAGGATGGAGGGAAATACACAGGAATCGTTAACAGTGAATGTCAATGGGATGAACTCTTCCATAAAATGAAAGCTGATAGCAGAGTGGATCAAAAACCAGAATCCTACAATATGTTACCTACAAGAAACACACTTGAAGCAGAGAGAGACGCACAGACTAAAGGTAAGGGGCTGAACCAGAATCTATTAGCTTTAGGTGAAGCAAAAAAAAGCAGGGGTAGCAATCCTGATCTCAGACAAAGAAAAAATGGATCTAATTAAAAGACAAGGAAGAAAACTACATCTTCTTGCTAAAAGGAACCATAGACAATGAAGCAATACCAATACTAAACATATACGCACCAAATGGTATAGCATCCAAATTCTTAAATGAGTTGAAGGTTCATGACCAAACAAGAGATAGAGAGCTTTATGAAGTGCAAAATAGATAATTTTGATTATATTAAATGAAAAAGATTTTGCACAAACAAAACTAGAAGATTAGAAGGAAAGCAGAAAGCTGGGATACATTCTTTATAGCAAGTATCTCTGACGGCAGTTTTCATAAGAAAAAACCAAAGCTATCTATAGGCATATGAAGAAGTACTCTAAATCACTTTTGACTAGAGAAATGCAAATTAAAACAACTCTGTACAGTACCACCTCATACTTATCAGATTGGCTAATATGACAAAAAAAAAATGATAAATGTTGGAGAGGATGTGGGAAAATTGGGACACTAATGCACTGTTGAAATTGTGAACTGATCCAACCATTCTG